GGTGTTTAAGCTACTTGTGGGTGGATGCTCTGATGTTCAATAATGCATCAGGTGCTTCTACAACGCATTCATTAGTGTGTGTGTGTCTGTTAGTCTTTTTGTCTGTGTTTGTGTGTGTGTTCACCTGTGGGCGGATGACTCTCTCGATGCTCTTCAGGGCTGTGTCAGGGGAGGGGGGCGAGCAGTCCGGTGTGGGTCCTGTTGAGCAGTTGCCATGGTTACCATGCTCCCCCTCACTCACCGTTACATGGGACAAGTGACCTTAGAGGGAGAGAGAAAGAGTGAGAGACAAGTAAAAAGAAGAGGGGAAGACTTGCCCTTTGTACCCCCTTCATCATCCACAGGAGGGCGGAGTCTAAAGCCAGATTACCATTTCTACGATACTTGCAAGCAGATGTGTTTGGATTTAAACTCTGCATGTAAACACAGTCACAGTTAAAGTCAAGGAACAAAATAACACAGAATAAATGTAGTATTATGGGACAGACATTTAACAACAGCCAGTCAAAATACTGCAATATACACCGATCAGGCATAGCATTATGTGCACCTGCCTAATATTGTTGGGTCACCTTTAACTGACAAAACCATCTTTACCCATTGAGGCATGGACTCCACTAGACCACTGAAGGTGTGCTGTGGTATCTGGCACAAAGAAGTTAGCAACAAATCCTCTAAGTCCTGTAAGGTGTGTGTGGATTGGAATTGTTTGTCCAGCTCATTGCACAGATGCTTGATCGGAGTATGACACCGACTTGCCTTCTTGCCATAGTGGATCATGGGTCCAGGTATTCCCCAGGTAAGCAATGCACCCGGCCTTCCATGTGATGTAAAAGAAAACGTGGATCATCAGACCAGGCTACCTTTTCCCATCCAACTCTGATGCTCATTGTTGGCGACAGTGATCTACACGGGTACCCTGATTAGTCTATGCCTATGCAGCCACATACCAACAAACAGCAATGCACTGCTTTTTTTCTATCATCTTTCTATCAGAAACAGCATTAATTTTTTAGGCAATTTGACCTAAAATAGCTCATCTGTTGGATCTGACCACACACGCCAACCCTAACGCTGCACATGCATCAGTGAACCTTGGCTGCCCTGGACCCTGTCGCTGGTTCTCCACTGTTCCCTCCTTTGACCACTTTTGATGGATAATGACCTCTGCAGACCGGAAACACATCACAAGTTCTGACCCAGTCGTCTAGCTATCACAATTTGGCCCTGGTCAGACTGTCCCAAATCCTGAATCTTGCCCATTCTTCCTGCTCCTAACACATCAACTTGGAGGACAAAATGTTCATTTGTGCCCTAATATGTCCCGCCCACCGACAGGTGCCACAATGAAGAGATAATCAGTGTCATTCACTTCACTTGTAAGTGGTCATAATGTTATGGGTGATGGATGTAAATGCTCTTAAAAAAGCAAACTAGATTATCGCATCTCCCCAGTGCTCGGTTTTCAGTCTTTAGAAAAAACAGGTGAGATCAGTTGCCAGCATGAAGCAGTATAGACAGCAAAATAGTTTATGTAGGAAACAAAACATAGGTGGTGTAATAACGTGTTAGCATTTTCTAGTTCCCGCTAAACACATGAGAATTCAGCAAAATGGCTAATGTGTCATATTATGTACAGTACTTCCGCCTAACAGTGACCTGGTAGTTACAGTTGTTTTATCACTGAAGAGAACCAAAGAGAGGTGAGTGTCATTTTGTAATTTTACAAGCTTCAGCAACAACCACAGCAGGAAAACGTGACTGCTGTCCAGAGCAGTTTGATGTCTATCTCAGTTTTCTATACACACACTCAGTGTGTGCAGTTGATTACAGAGTATCTGAGCTAATTTCCCCAGTGCATGATCCTTTAGCAGAGAAGAGGGGAGGAAAAAGGAAAAGAAAAAGACCAGAAAGGAAGGAAGAAGAGAAAAGTGCTGAAGTCGACTGAATTAACTTTCAGTGGGAGAAAGCATTTGTCTTAATCAACTGGAAGAGACACAATACCCAGACTAACACAGCTTTCTCGCAATATTGTCATCAGACACACACACACACACACACTCGCTAGATGTTTTCTGTCAGTTACCACCTGCCTACACGGACTCGATCAGATGCCAGAATATCATCCAATTAAGGTGTGAGACCCAGTCGGGACTATTACCTCACAAGTGTGCATACATGTACACACTGACACAACAGCACTAAGAACAGAATTATATATTTCATCTGATTTCCAGGGATTGTTTCTTAACTAAAGCGACAACATTAAAACCACGTGCCTACTACGTGTATGTACAACCCCCCACCCCCACTTGTGCCACCAATAGAGCTCTAGCATGTTCTAAAATGGGCCAGCAGCTCTGTGGTGGTGTCCTGTGGCATCTGGCATTGGACCTCTGGTAGTGTTTCAGGCTTGTTCCTGTGCATCCTGGATTGGATGAATTAATTAGTTCTGCGGATTGATTATTTTTGCTCCTATGTAGGGAGAGTGCTGCCATCTGCTTGGGCTGCAACAATGTTAAGGTGGGTAACTTTGATATGAATGCCCAGACGCACGGTGTCCCAGCAGAACGCTGCATTCTTACAAGATAATCGCATAACTTTTAATTATGTGGCAGGTCCACTTAGCTCATTTCAAATGGAAACTGAAATAAAAGCAGTGCTCCCTGTTGTTGTTTCAACTTGGATGTCGTTGATGGTGTGATTTTTCACAACTCCCACAAATCATCTTCACCTATTCAAAAAGAACAAATGTATAAAAAAGGGAGAAATGTGGGGCTGCTGCTGATGTTTTGCATAATGACACATACAGCGTCCTGTAATTTAATGAGCGACAAACGCCTTTACTTTACATTTACCAGGATGTCAGCCTGCAGAGGAGGAATTCTAATCTTCATGTGGAAAAAAAAAGCAAGAAGAGGTACCAAATTATTTGTGAACAAACTGAAAAGGATAAAAATAAAGTTGTATTGAGATTTTCTTTTTACTGTAATTGAAACTCTACATTTTTTGTTACTTATTATGACAGAATTTCTTAATAATTAAAAAGAACATGGTAACTTTTGAGAGAAAAAAAAAAAGGATAGCAGCAGATGCATTAGATCCCTGAAGACATTCCTGGTGGAACAATATTCAGTCTAAAAGGTTGAAATCAGCCCAAAAATAAAGTGAGCCAAATAGAGAAGAAATAAAATACAGCAGATACGGTGTCTGGTGTATCAAATGAAGCTTCTGCCCTGGATTATAAGTTTGAGATGAAGCCATTTACAGTCATTCAGTGTAGCTGGTCTTAGCTGACAAACACTGTTGCCATCTGTTTTTAACATTTAACAACCACACAGAAAAAATATATCCTTATTATTATTCTTATATATTCTGAGAAACTCTTGGGATCCTTTTTCAGTACACTTTAGGTCATTATCCATTTGGCTAAATCTGACATTTCATCCAGCTACCGGTACTTCTATCAGCAGTCAGATCATCAGTAAATACTAGTAAGCCAGTTCCACTGACAGTAATACGAGCTCACGCTTTAACATAAGATCTACCACACTGCATTATATCCACGCTGTGGGTTGCGCCACTTCTAAAGCTTTGGCATCTCTCTGATTGAAAATGATGGCCTCTCACTCTTATCAACATCTCTCTGAGCCTTGTATCCAGTAAAAAGCTACCAAAAGCAAATATAATTGGACCCAACTTCGGATCTTCAATCAGTTCAGTCTGTCGTACAATTATAGAGCAGGCCTCACCTTGCCACACAACTGCTTATCAGTCATTCGTCCAATTTATTTTAAGCTCCTAAAAATGAAGCACTGTTTCTTGTTTGGTTTAAAATCTACTGTGATGGTGTACAGAGGTAAATTTGCCTCTTGTGGAAATAATTGCATATTCTTTATTGACATCTAATAACTTAAGATTTTTCAAAAATCTACCAAACAGCATTTTAACAAGAATCCAGAAAAACAGCAAGTAGGACCAATTTTCACAGTAACACAAAAGAATGAGGCTCATTAGAGAAGAAATCATAAACACTGAGAAAATGCTAGCAGGAACAATAATCGAGCAACAGAGAGAAACACGATTTGCAAAGATGTAAACCTCATAAGAGACCATTTCCAGACGCAGCTAAAACTCCCTGAAGTCCTTAAATACTAAATAAATAAATAAAAGAACTGTATTTCTTTTCATGGAAGATTTTCTGTATACTCCAGCAACCTGAAGTTACCAGTTTTATTGTGAAGCAGCTTTAAAACCAAAAATGTCTGATCCTGGTTTACAAATTGCTACCATCTTCCATCCTATTTTGATTTTGATTTTCAACAGTCTGGCTGCAGACGTGAAGCCACACAATCACGCAGGCACATCTGTCCTGCAGGGGGAAAGTGACACAGCTTCACAGCATGCTCTCACATCTATCAAACATGTTTGCAAACACACACGAGCATGCGCATGCACACATACACACGCGCATGCACCATAAAAGAACTGCCTGGAGCTGAATCAATGTTTAAATGTGGGCGTAAATAGATAAAATAAAGAGTGAAAAAAAATGGGAGAGAGAGAAAAAAGGAAGGAGGGTTATATATAGATAGGGATTGAGGTTTTGTCCTATTGAATAAGCCTGTCAACACTGTTTTTGATGATGGATGGAAGATGTGTGTGTGAATGAGTCTGTTTCTGACTCTGCATCCTTTACATGTGCCTTGGGCTCACTCCTGGGAAACACTCTTAGCTGTCCTTGCCAAAGAGAATACATGTTTGTATGTTAGTGTGCATACAAAAGTGCACATGCGTATGGGTGTCGAAATGTAATCTCTGATGGATGTTGTACCTGTTCACATCCTTGATACTGGGAAGCGCCGAAATGTTTCATTGTACAGTTTCTGTGTCTTATAATAGAGCCTGGATATATTCAAATATAACTCTGTGTAGATCCAAGACCAGCTGCCCTGCTCTTTACAGCACCCTGTAGAGGACCCGTGTGTCTAAGTGAATGCTCGGTGTGCGCAAGCGTTCAATCAGCTGTCCACTTCCTGGTCATCTAACAAGACAAAAACTGTCAATTTTAGACACGTTCTTTGGGCTGTCAGTTCTGCCTCTCTGCCACTCTGGGGGTATTTCATATGTATAGTGTATGTGTGTGCATGCAACCTTGCAAGTCAGTGTCAACTTACAGCTGAGCTTCTGTGTTTTTTTAACACTACAGTTGGAATCGAAAAAAGAGGAAGTTTGAAAGTTTTATTTACCCATGCACTACA